CTTCTGAAAAATCTGCTGGATACCTTATGGGGGTTCTTCTGTATGTAACAAGTAGTTCTTCTCTTGTGCTTTTAAGATTCCTTGTCCTTGACATTTTAATGATAATGTGTTTTGGTGTGGATCTCTTTTGGTTCCCTGGATCTGGATGTTGGTTTCTTTCTCCAGATTAGGGAAGTTTTTAGGCCCCTTCTCTCCCTACACTGGGAATGATGTTTTCTATAAGTCCCTTAAGCTTTTTGGTTTTTTGTTTTGTTTTTTGTTTTTCCTTGCTCTGTTAGAGTGAACTCCAGTGCCCTGTCTTTGAGTTCAGCGATCCTCTCTTCTTCTTGTTTGCTGTAAACCCCTACTGTATTTTTCAGTTCAGTTGTATCCTTCAGTTCTGTGACTTCTCTTTGGTACTTTTCTCTTTTTTCAGTTTCTGTGTTCATCCATTCTTCTTCCAAGTTTAGTTAGCATCTTTATGGCCATACTTTTAACTCTTTATCAGGTAGATTACTTATCTCTGTTTCATGAACTATTTTTCTGAGATTTTACCTTCTTTCATTGGAATATATTCCTGTTAATTCATTTTTTTTTAAGCTTTTATTTTATTTATTTGACAGAGACACATGGAGAGAGGAAACACAAGCAGGGGGAGTGGGAGAGGGAGAAGCAGACTCCCCACTGAGCAGGGAGCCTGATGTGGGGCTCGATCCCAGGACCCTGGGATCATGACCTGAGCCGAAGGCAGACGCTTAACCGACTGAGCCACCCAGGTGCCCCAATTCATTTTTTTTTAAAACTATGTGTTGGTTTCTATATGCATCAGATGAAACAGCTACCTCTCCCAGTGTTGAAGTAGAGGAACCTTTTCATTTAACCTTGCTGTATCTCGTTTGTTTCTCAAATTTTGTGATTGTCCCAGCAGCCTGTTTTTAACAGCTCCTGGTAGTTGAGGGTGTGCCAAGACCTATCACTGTACCAAAGCGGGGGGGGGGGGGGGAGTAGCTCAGTCAGGACTTAATTCAGGGTGATTAAAAGCTGCTGCCTGAGGGTTTGGCTTCCACAGTATGCACATATGTATCATCTTGTGGGAGCTATGTGGATAGGGAGGTGTCCCTTAGACACAGTAGTAAAAATTGGGGCTCCAGCTGGGTAGATAAGTTGCTTACTGGAATATACCAGCAAGCTGTAATAAGAACACAAGGATGGTATTGCCCCACCTTACATGGTTTGAGAGCATTTCCATAGGTCTCTAGAAGAGTGCCAGATCTGAGGCCTGCCCTGCAGCAGGTTGAAGCTCCAGGATAAGTAAATAGGCTCTTTTACAAAAGGAAGAGGATATGTGTTTCAGTCCGCTATCTGGAACAGGCAGTGAGAACACAAAAGATAGCGCCTGCCCTCCAATGTCCTTGGTAAGTAAGGTTTACAGTTAATCCTTAGATGTATGTTTAAGTAGAAGCGTGCCCCTCAGGCTGTAGCCGTGATGATAAACTTATAAGACCTCTTTCACTGGAAGACTGAGCTGCTTGGGTCTATTGCCTGTTTAAGACCTTTTTCACCATGGTTCCAGTCTTATGGGACCTGTGAGCATTGCCCTGCTGGCCACCAGAGCCAGGCAATGTACAGGTGTGCCGTGGCAGCAGCTGCAAAAATCAGGGTGCCCGACAAAGGTATAACCTCCTTTTTGCGATATGCCATCAAACTGGGGCAGGGCAGAGAGGGGAGTGTAAAGACTCTTTCCATCAGCCATAGGCCCTAGATGTATGCCAGACCAGAAGCTTTCTCCTTAGGCCAAAGCTCTTGTACAACCAAATAGGTGTTTTTCTTAGAAAAAACTCAGCCTGCTATCTGTACAGTACCTTGGTACAGTCTCATGGCACCCAGGAATGCAAGCCCCTCGGGTTCCAGAGCCACACAAAGGGCATCCCTGGGCAGCAGCTGTAAACACTAAGTACAAGACACAGGTAAAAAGCTGCCTTCCAGGAGATACTGGTGCCCTGGAGCTCAGGAGAGGAAGAACACGAAGATGGCACCCACCAGCCTGTTACAGGTGATGCATTAAGATGAGCAAATGAATCTTTCACATGAAGTCTGCTTTTCAGAGGGCTGCTTCTGCACTGGACCCTGTGGCAAATGAGTCCATGCAAGCCCTTTAGGAGCTGTTTGTTCACTGTAGCCCCTTTGGGTCTCTTGAATGTGAGCACTGTTGGGTTTCCATAGCCAGATGTTTTGGAGGCTTATCGTTCAGGTGCAAGTCTTAAAAGCTGGTTGTACCCTGTTTGAGGTATGAACCCTTCACTCCTTAAGGGAGAAATTCTGGGTTTGTAAATTCCCTCCTCATTGTGGGTTGTGTGCCTGGAGATGGGTTTATGGCATGATTAGTTCTTGGTATGGCCTTTTTCTTGTTTGATATGAAAGAATTGTTCAGCTAGTCTTCAGGTCTTTTTCAGAGAAAATTGTTCCATATGTAGTTATAGCTTTTAAGTGTGTCCAGGGGAAGAGGGGAGTTCAGGATCTTCTGACATTGCCATCTTGTACTGCCCTAGCTTTAGAATATAGCCATAATATTCAGTTAATAATTCCAAATATATTTTCAAAATATAGTGCAGTCTTTAACTCTTCGACCCTGAAATCCACATACTGATTATATAGATACTAAGACAAAAGTTCTAAAGGACACAGGCAGTATTTTTACTAAAAGTATATGGGGGAAAAAGCAAATTGAATTAAAAAGTCAACAAAGAGTTTAAAAATTATACATCCATGCGAGACAGTGGAACACTATACACCAGGTAAGAAGAGCTAAAACTACATATACTGACATGGGAAGATCTCTTAAGATAGATTGTTATGCAAGTCAGGAAACGACAGATGTTGGCGGGGGTGCGGAGAAAGGGGAACCCTCCTACGCTGTTGGCGGGAATGCAAGCTGGTGCAGCCACTCTGGAAAACAGTATGAAGGTTCCTCAAAAAGTTAAAAATAGAGCTACCATATGACCCAGCAGTTGCACTACTGGGTATTTACCCCAAAGGTACAAAAGTTGTGATCCGAAGGGGTACATGCATCCCGATGTTTATACAGCAATGTCCACAATAGCCAAACTATGGAAAGAGCCAAGATGTCCATCGACAGATGAATGGATAAAGAAGATGTGTTATATGGATACAATGGAATATTATGCAGCCATCAAAAGGAATGAAATCTTGCCATTTGCAATGACATGGATGGAACTGGAGGGTATCATGCTGAGCGAAATAAGTCAATGAGAGAAAGACATGTATGACCTTACTGATATGAGGAATTCTTAATCTCAGGAAACAGAGGGTTGCTGGAGTGGTGGGGGGTGGGAGGGATCTGTGTGATAGACATTGGGGAGGGTATGTGCTATGGTGAGCGCTGTGAATTGTGTAAGACTGTTGAATCACAGACCTGTACCTCTGAAACAATACATATATGTTAAAAAAAAAAAAGGAAAAATGAAGAGGGGGAAATCGGGGAGACGAACCATGAGAGACTATGGACTCTGAGAAACAGAGTTTTAGAGGGGAGAGGGGTAGGGGGATGGGTTAGCCTGGTGATGGGTATTAAAGAGGGCAGGTACTGCATGGAGCACTGGGTGTTATACGCAAACAATGCTCATGGAACGCTATGTCAAAAACTAATGTAGTGTGTAGTGATTAACATAAATTGTTATGAAAAAGCAAGATGCAAAATAAATGGTCCCATTTATGTAGCTATAGATGAATAAATATATAGATATATACACGTCTATATGAAACATTGATTTTCTTTAAAAAGAATAGCAAATGGCTGGGTGTGGGTTATAGAAGGGAATGCTGAAGGAGCATGGCCCCTTTTTATCTTACAAGCTTCTATAGAGTCTGCATTCATTTTTGAGAAAAAGATGTTTTGCTTATAAATAGAATACAGGTAAGAGAGGGTTAATATGTAGATTTACTTTCAACTTTTTATTTGACATGTAAATACTTAACTGATGGCTATTTTACTTATATCAGTAAATATATTCATATTATTTATCACTTTATAAAAATAGCCATTTACTGAGTATATCCCTCTCTCAGTTAAATCTTCCACATTCCTGAAATCTGTAAGACTATATGGGGTGAAAGCAGTTATACTCTATAGCTGAGGAACCTGAGGTTTAGGTAAGTTTTTTGCCCAGGTTACTTAGTATGAGCCAGAGCTGGGCTCTAAAAGCTTGTGCTTACAATTAAAGGTTAATACTAGTCAATAATACTTACAAGAAAGCTAACATACAGAACTGTCTCTGGTATGTCATCTGATGATAAACAGCCTCACAAATTTTCACCAAGGAACTGCAGTTTAAGAGGTACCTTAGAAAACTGGAGACTGTGCAAGCACACAGTCAAGATAGCAAAAGAAAACTTTATGTTAAGTTTTAGGGTTAGGGGTAGGGTTAGGGTTAGAGATACAGATACAAAAAGAGGATATTGCTTCAGCAGAATCGTGGCAGCCATCTTCAAAAACCTAAAATTTTCTATGGAAATAGATCTAAATTTATCCTATATGATTTTGGAGAGCTGAACAGGGTCAGGGAGAAAATTACAGGGAAAACGATCTTTATGAAGAAAACTTTGTTAACAGACATTTCTTAAAACGAGATGGACTTCCTCCTATCACTGTATGATTCAGAGGCTAAATAGCTACTTACCTCAGATGCTATAGAAAAGATTAATGTAGAACTTTGAACTACATAAGCTCTAGGATTCCCTTTAAGAGTCTATAGCTTTTAGATTTTCTTAGAGTTATTTTTCAACTACATTTATCATTTACATCTGCAGCAAAGCAATAAACACGAAGTTAAGTTTTCTGATACTACAACTTATACTACTATACATAATCTTACCCATATTCCCCATAGCATACATATTCACCTTCGGTTCATCTGATGGCAGCAGTTTAAAACAGACTTTGGCATGCTGGTTTTGGTCACAGTGAAGTATTTAATGTCCTTTAGTGAAAGGTGTTTCCTTACCTATAGAACCGCCTCCCTGGTAAACCAAGGGGATCGATGAATGCTCTCTCCAGGAGCATCAGTTGGTCATTCATGATTCTCACTGCAATGGGACTTGAAAAATAAGAGTTATAGTTACTTACCATGGAACTATATTGTTTTTTTTTTAATTTTATTATGTTAATCACCATACATTACATCATTAGTTTTTGTGTATTTTAAAATAATACAGGATAAAGCATGGAAAAATAAACTTCTAAAATCAGATTTTTAAGAAAATGCAGATTAACAATAATGCTTTATATGTAAACTACATATAACAACGGAGGCATCTTTCTAATACTCATAATAAGAGAGACCTATTGGAAATGGTTCGTTTTGTCAAGACCACAGAAAGGACAGAAAGACATTTTTAATTTTTTCTAGGAGGAGAGCCCAGCCTCCTGCAGAGGCAGATTGGGTGTACTATCAAGTTAATGCCACTGAGTAAAGGCTAAACAACAAATAAAGGGAATTTGCAACAGTCTGCAAGAAGAGTTGGGGTAGGGGGTAGCTGCACATCATGGGCAGGGAATCCCCTTTCATATTTGGAATCTGCCAACTCTTTTTGGGGTGCTACATAGGTTCTCTGGGCTTTCCTACAACCCAAGGGGGAGAGAGAAGCCCCTCAAAATGAAGGCTACATCTTGTTGCCAATATGGGTGGTGAAAAAGCTTATTCTAATTGGATCTGAACAAATAAATGTGACCTGGACTACAGTGTGGAACAATTTATACTTGTTACATAATGCTTTAAATACAACTTTTTCATTATATTTCAATCTAAAAGTGAAAAGCAGTTAAATGCAAAAAAAACTTCTGCAATTGGTCGGGGAAGTATTGGAAATGTGGTGAAATTCATACTACAGATACACTTAAACCATGGAACTGTGAATTACCAGCTATCCTCCTTGGCCCTTGTGTTGGAATGAGTTTTTGGTCTACCATAGAGTAATGCTTCTCAAACTTCAATGTGAATACAAACCATTCTGGAGAGTCTTGTTAAAAAGCGCGGAATCCTAATTTAGGAGGTCTTCGATGGCGTTTGATATTCTAACAAGCTCGTAGTTAATGCTGATGCTGCTGGTTTACAGACCGTAGAGCAATGATGTAGAGTTGAATGCTTACAAGGTGTACACAATTCATTCTAGTAACTAGATCACATTTCAAAATGATGGGGAGCTTTACATTTGAAACTTACTTATTAAGATCAACTTGTGTAAGTCTTCTATGAAAATCTGAAGCAGCATCTGAGAAGTTATTCACAGCAGAAAATAAAGAATCTTTTAAAAATACAAAAGAGGAAAGTCAGTAAGAGGAGCTTATATCACATGTTCACTTTCCCACCCACCCCATTCCAGGCTGATATGAGTGAATAAATACTGAAACAATGTTGAGCCTTCCTGCAGATCCATGGAAATCATCAGAAAATTTGTAACAGGAAAGAGAGGGGGCGGAGCAAGATGGCGAAGGAGTAGGAGACCGGGATTTCATCTGGACTCAGGAATTCAGCTGGATAGGGATCAAACCATTCTGAACACCTACGAACTCAACAACAGGAGATCAAAGAAAAGAATAGCAACAACTCTGAACAAAAAAGCGACCACTTTCTGGAAGGTAGGATGTGCGGAGAAGTGAATCCGAGGCGATATTTGGGAGGATAGACGGCGGGGGAGGGGGCCTCTGTCGGCCGCTTCTGGCAAGTGATAGAGCCACGGAGCACAAAATTGGAACTTTTAGAAGTCGGATCCGCTGAGGGATGCTCCAGTGGCTAACCTGGTGGTGAAACCCTTGCAGGACAGTGTGTTCTCAGGACCCTCAGGGTCACAGAAGGACTGAGGGTGCCGGAGTGCGGCAGAGCTCTCAGGTATCAGAGCGGGGAAGCCGGCTGCAGAGACAGAGCCGAGGCATGGGCTCTCTGCTCGGGGTTGCCATAAACTGATCGGTGACACAGTTGGGCCACTGCTCCTCCAGCAGGGAACCAACAAGCGGCAGATTGGGGAGATTCCCCTTCCTCCCCTGGGAGGAGTGCGCGAGAGCGCACCGCAGGGATCTGCTGGGTTTGGAAACTCCACACGGGGTCGTGTGCCAGAGATAGAAACGCTCGGTCACAAGCTGGGTGAGCACGGCGTGCGGCCAGAGACCAGGGAGACGGGAGTAACTGACTGCTTTTCTCTGGGGACGCACTGAAGAGCGGGGCCCCGAGTTCTGGGCTCCTGCGAGTGGAGACTGGGAGGCCGCCATTTTCACTGTTGTCCTCCAAAGCTGTAGGGAAAGCTTGCAGGGAACAAAAGCTCTCGAGAGCAAACCCAAGCGGATTGCTTAACCCAGACCAGCAAGGGTGGGGCAATTCCGCCTCCGGCAAAGACATTTAGGAGCCACGGCAACGGGCCCTTCCCCGAGAAGATTAGCAACAGCCAGCCAAGACCAAGTTTACCGATCAATGAGAATGGCAGAACTCCAGGGCTAGGGGAATACTGCACATAGAATTCATGGCTCTTTTACCATGATTCATTACTCTTTCAAATTTAATTTTTTTAACTTTTTTTTTGAATTTTTCTTTTTCCCTTTTTCAACCAACATCTTATCAATCCCTTTTAAAAAAAAAAACAACTTATTTTTCATTTTTAGAGTCATACTCTATCCCTTCATAGTAGTTACCCTTATTTTTGGTATATATATACATATAAGTTCTCTATTTAAAATTTTGAGATACAGTTTCTTCTAACATAGCAAAATGTACCCTAAATCTCTAGTGTATGGCTTTGTTCTACTCTGCCTGATCACATTCTATCCCTTTTTTCTTTCTTTCCTTTTTTTAATCCTTTCTTTTTTCAAACGTCTTTTTTTTAAATTTTTTATAATTTTCAACTTTACAGTCATATTACATCCCTTCATCATATCAACCCATATTTTGTACATATATAAGTCTTTCTTTAAAATTTTAGGAGGCACTTTCTTCTAACAGACCAAAATACACCCAAAATCTAGTGTGAGCCACTGATCTATGCACCAGCCTGATCATATTTAGTCAGTCTTGTTTTTTTTTGTCTTGTTTTGTTCTGTTTTTGTTTGTTTTTATCTTTTTTTTCCTCTTTTTTTTTTCTTTCCCTTTCTTTTCTCCTGGTTTCAGGTCCTTTCTGATTTCATTAGAGTATATTTTCTGGAGACTTTGTTAACCTGTTAGCATTTTGTTCTCTCATTCATATATTCTCCTCTGGACAAAATGAGAAGACAAAAGATTCACCTCAATAAAAAGAACAAGAGGTAGTACCGTCTGCCAGGGACCTACTCAATATGGACATTAGTGCAATGTCAGACCTAAAGTTCAGAATCATGACTTTAAAGATACTAGCTGGGCTTGAAAAAAGCATGGAAGTTATTAGAGACACCATTTCTGGAGAAATAAAAGAACTAAAATCTAACCAAGTCGAAATCAAAAAGGCAATATTAAAGAGGTGCAATAAAAAATGGGGGCACTAACTCTAGGATAAATGAGGCAGAATAGAGAATCGGCGATATAGAAGACCAAATGATGGAAAATAAAGAAGCTGAGAAAAAGAGAAATAATTACTGGAAAACGAGGGCAGAATTCGAGAGAAAGCAATACGATAAGACGAAACAACATTAGAATAATTGGGATCTCAGAAGAAGAAGAAAGAGAGAGAGGGGCAGAAGGTGTATTGGAGCAAATTATAGGAGAGAAGTTCCCTAATGTGGGGAAGGAAACAGGCATCAAAATCCAGGAGGCACAGAGAACCCTCTCAAAATCAATAAAAATAGATCAACACCCCGACATCTAATAGTACAACTTATGAGTCTCAGAGACAAAGAGAAAATCCTGAAAGCAGCTCGGAGAAGACATATGTAACTTATAATGGGAGAAACATTAGATTGGCAACAGACCTATCCACAGAGACCTGGCAAGCCAGAAAGGACTGCCATGATATATTCACAGCACTAAACGAGAAAAATATGCAGCCAAGAATACTATGCGCAGCTAGGCTGTCATTGAAAATAGAAGGAGAGATAAAAAGCTTCCAGGACAAACAAAAACTAAAGGAATTTGCAAACACGAAACCAGCCCTACAAGAAATACTGACAGGGGTCCTCTAAGCAAAGAGAGAGCCTAAAAGCAGCATAGACCAGAAGGGAATACAGACAATATACAGTAATAGTCACCTTACAAGCAATACAATGGCACTAAATTCGTATCTTTTCATAGTTACCCTGAATGTAAGTGGGCTAAATGACCCAATCAAAAGACACAGGCTATCAGATTGAATTAAAAAGAAGACTCATCTATATGCTGTCTGTAAGAGACTCATTTTAGACCCAAAGACACCCCCACATTGAAAGTGAAGGGGTGGAAAACGATTTACCATGCTAATGGACACCAGAAGAAAGCTGGGGTGGCAATCCTTATATCAGACAAATTAGATTTTAAAACAAAGACAACAAAGAGATGAGGAAAGATACTATATCCTACTTAAAGGGTCTATCCAAGAGGAAGATCTAACAATTGTAAATATCTATACCCCTAACATGGGAGCAGCCAATTATATAAGGCAATTAATAACAAAAGCAAAGAAAGACATTGAGAACAATACAATAATATTGGGGGACTTTAACAACCACCTGACTAAAATGGACAGATCATCTAAGCAAAAGATCAACAAAGAAATAAAGACTTTAAATGACACACTGGACCAAATGGACTTCACAGATATATTCAGAACTTTCCATCCCAAAGCAACGGAATACACATTCTTCTCTAGTGCCCATGAACATTCTCCAGAAGATCAAATCCTAGGTCACAAATCAGGTCTCAACCGGTACCAAAAGACTGGGATTATTCCCTGCATATTTTCAGACCACCATGCTTTGAAACTAGAACTCAATCACAAGAGGAAAGTCAGAAGGAACTCAAATACATGGAGGCTAAAGAGCATCCTACTAAAGAATGAATGGGTCAACCACGAAATTAAAGAAGAATTAAAAAAATTCATGGAGGGCGCCTGGGTGGCTCAGTTGGTTAAACGACTGCCTTCGGCTCAGGTCATGATCCTGGAGTCCTGGGATCGAGTCCCGCATCGGGCTCCCTGCTCAGCGGGGAGTCTGCTTCTCCCTCTGACCCTCTTCCCTCTCGTGCTTTCTCTCTCTCAAATAAATAAAATCTTTAAAAAAAAAAATTCATGGAAACCAATGAAAATGAAAACACAACTGTTCAAAATCTTTGGGATACAGCAAGGCAGTCCTGAGAGGAAAGTATATAGCAATACAAGCCTTTCTCAAGAAATAAGAAAGGTCTCAAATATACAACCTAACCCTACACCTAAAGAAGCTAGAGAAAAAACAGCAAATAAAGCCTAAACCCAGCAGGAGAAGAGAAATAATAAAGATCAGAGCAGAAATCAATGAAATAGAAACCAAAAGAACAGCAGAACAGATCAACGAAACTAGGAGCTGGTTCTTTGAAAGAATTAACAAGATTGATAAACCCCGGGCCAGACTGATCAAAAAGAAAAGAGAAATGACCCAAATCAACAAAATCATGAATGAAAGAGGAGAGATTACAAACACCACCAAAGAAATACAAACAATTATTAAGAACATATTATGAGCAACTCTATGCCAGCAAATTAGATAACCTGGAAGAAATGGATGCATTCCTAAAGATGTATCAACTGCCAAAACTGAACCAGGAAGAAATAGAAAACATGATCAGACCTATAACCACTAAGGAAATTGAAGCAGTCATCAAAAATCTCCCAACAAACAAAAGCCCAGGGTCAGATGGCTTCCCAGGGGAATTCTACCAAACATTTAAAGAAGAATTAATACCTATTCTCCTGAAACTCTTCCAAAAAATAGAAATGGAAGGAAAACTTCCAAACTCCTTTTATGAGGCCACCATTACCTTGATCCCCAAACTAAACAAAGACCCCATCAAAAAGAATTACAGACCAATATCCTTGAAGAACATGGATGCAAAAATTTTCACCAAAATACTAGCCAATATGATCCAACAGTACATTAAAAGGATTATTCACCATGACCAAGTGGGATTTATCCCTGGGCTGCAAGGTTGGTTCAACATCCGCAAATAAATCAACGTGATAAAATATATTAACAAAAGAAAGAACAGGAATCATATGATCCTCTCAATAGATGCAGAGAAAGCATTTGACAACGTACAGCATCCTTTCTTGATCAAAACTCTTCAGAGTATAGGGATAGAGGGTACCTACCTCAATATCATAAAAACCATCTATGAAAAACCTACAGCGAATATCATTCTCAATGGGGAAAAGCTGAGAGCTTTCTCCCTAAGGTCATGAACGCGGCAGGGATGTCCACTATCACCACTGCTATTCAACATAGTATTAGAAGTCCTAGCCACAGCAATCAGACACAAAAAGAAATCAAAGGCATCCAATTCGGCAAGGAGGAAGGGAAACTCTCACTCTTTGCAGATGATATGATTCTTTATGTGGAAAATCCAAAAGACTCCACCCCAAAACTGCTAGAAGTCATACAGGAATTCAGTCAAGTGGCAGGATATAAAATCAATGCACAGAAATCAGTGGCATTCCTATACACCATCAAGACAGAAGAGAGAGAAATTAAGGATTCGATCCCATTTACAATTGCAACCAAAACCATAAGATACCTAGACATAAATCTAACCAAAGAGGCAAAGGATCTGTACTCAGAAAACTATAAAATACTCATGAAAGAAATTGAGGAAGACACAAAGAAATGGAAAAACGTTCCATGCTCATGGATTGGAAGAACAAACATTGTGAAGATGTCAACGCTACGTAGAGCAATCTACACATTCAATACAATCCCCATCAAAATACCATCCACTTTTTTCAAAGAACTGGAACAAATAATCCTAAAATTTGTATGGAACCAGAAGAGTCCCCGAATAGCCAGAAGAATGTTGAAAAAGAAAAGCAAAGCTCGCGGCTTCACAATTCCGGACTTTCAGCTCTAGTACAAAGTTGTCATCATCAAGACAGTATGGTACTGGCAATAAAACAGACACATAGATCAGTGGAACAGAATAGAGAGCCCAGAAATGGACCCTCAATTCCATGGTCAACTAATCTTTGACAAAGCAGGAAAGAATGTCCAATGGAAAAAAGACAGTCTCTTCAACAAATGGTGTTGGGAAAATTGGACAGCTACATGCAGAAGAATGAAACTGGACCATTTCCTTACACCTCACACAAAAATAGACTCAAAATGGTTGAAAGACCTCAGTATGAGACAGGAGTCCATCAAAATCCTAAAAGGAGAACACAGGCAGCAACCTCTTCAACCTCAGCTGCAGCAACTTTTTCCTAGAAACATCGCCAAAGGCAAGGGGGGCAAGGGCAAAAATGAACTATTGGGATTTCATCAAGATAAAAAGCTTTTGCACAGCAAAAGAAACAGTCAACAAAACCAACAGACAACCGACAGAATGGGAGAAGATATTTGCAAATGACATATCAGATAAAGGGCTAGTATCCAAAATCTATAAAGAACTTATCAAACTCCACACCCAAAGAACAAATAATCCAATCAAGAAATAGGCAGAAAACGTGAACAGACATTTTTCCAAAGAAGACATCCAAATCGCCAAAAGACACATGAAAAATTGCTCAACATCGCTCGTCATCAGGGAAATCCAAATCAAAACCTCAATGAGATACCACCTCACACCCGTCAGAATGGCTAAAATTAACAAGTCAGGAAACGACAGATGTTGGTGGGGATGTGGAGAAAGGGGAACCCTCCTATACTGTTGGTGGGAATGCAAGCTGGTGCAACCACTCTGGAAAACAGTATGGAGGTTCCTCAAAAAGTTGAAAATAGAGCTACCCTAAGACCCAGCAATTGCACTACTGGATATTTACCACAACGATACAAATTTAGGGATCCAAAGGGGTATGTGCACCCCAATGTTTATAGCAGCAATGTCCACAATAGCCAACCTGGAAAGAGCCAAGATGTCCATCGACAGATGAATGGATAAAGAAGAGGTGGAATATATACACAATGGAATATTATGCAGCCCTCAAAAGGAATGAGATCTTGCCATTTGCAGTGACGTGGATGAACTGGAAGGTGTTATGCTGAGTGAAATAAGTCAATCAGAGAAAGACATGTATCATATGACCTCACTGATATGAGGAATTCTTAATCTCAGGAAACAAACTGAGGTTTTCTGGAGTGGGGGTGGGGTGGGAGGGATGGGGTGGCTGGGTGATAGACATTGGGGAGGGTATGTGCTATGGTGAGTGCTGTGAAGTGTGCAATACTGTTGAATCACAGCTCTGTACCTCTGAAACAAATAATGCAATATATGTTAAGATAAAAAAAAAAGATAGGGGAAGAATGACGGGGGGGAGATTGGAGGGGGAGACGAACGATGAGAGATGATGGACTCTGAAAAACAATCTCAGGGTTCTAGAGGGGAGGGGGTGGGGGATCGGTTAGCCTGGGAATGGGTATTAAAGAGGGCACGTTCTGCGTGGAGCACTGGGTATTATGCACAAACAATGAATCATGGAACACTACATCAAAAACTAATGATGTAATGTATGGTGATTAACATAACAATAAAAAATTTAAAGAAAAAAATTTGTAACAAAGAAACAGTATATAAAATAGAAAATGACTAAATTGTTTCTTCAGGAAATAACTTCCCACAGTCTAGGACATAAATCATTCTTTTAACTCCTAATTTACCAGAAATGCATCATTCATGTATGTACTCCTTCAATAGATATTTATTGGTACATCTATATGCTAGATACTAGATACAGCTCTAGATGAGTTATGTTCCTGCAATTATTATAGTCTAAAACAATATTAATCCCTCTTTGTAAGGAGTGCATTTAAGATCTTGTTTAAAGGCCACCTGTAACAAGCTGATATATGTGGACACAAATAGGATTGGGTTTTGTCTCGTCAAGCTTTCCTAGTTTACAAAGATTCTAAGGGCAGTGAGAAGGTTCTCAGTATATTTTTTATTACAACCACCTATTTATCATTTTGCATCTTTTCTAAACCGAACATTAACAGAAATTTATTTCCTTCCTTCCTTAATCCTGTGAAGCATGGGATACAATATTCATTTTACAGATAGAGCACTTACTGTTCCAGACACATGATAAAGGCCTTTTTTTTTGTCCTAAATATCCTTTAAGCTCTAATTAGTATTGCTGTTTTAAAAACCATGTACCAAATAATCTAATAATAGTTATTATCGAAGCTGAAGGAAAGTATTGAAGGAATTTTAGATTTCCAATGAACCACAATAGTCTAGATGGGTAAGAAATGAAAGTATCCCTGATATTTAGTAACAGGTGAATAACTTCGGCATAAGCAATTTCAGTAGGGTAGGAAGACAGTTCACTGGATTGGTAGAAGGAAGTAAACAACTGGAGACCGCAAGTGCAGATTATAGATCCATCCCATCCATCATTCCTTCATTAAAACATTTTCTGAGGGTCTGTTTTTGCCTGGCACTAAATGACGAATTTTGATTGGGAAGGGAGTAGGGCACATTAGGTAGAAGAAATGTTTATAAAGAATGTTTAATACAGATGGAGTGTCACCAATGAGATGGGGAGTTTGACAGTATGGGGGGTATTAACATACATTAGGCTAATTAACCTGTGTCAACAGAGTCCTTCCACTTTAACTCTGTGCTCTCTCTGTAGGATCCTGACTTCAGCTGATAAAAAGTAATTCAAGAGAAAAGCAGGGCATCTAGGAAAAGAACTGGATGCTGGATAGCCAAAGAACTATGAATGTCCATCTTGCTGTGGGCTCTGCTTATTCATTTCATTTGCCTCATCATTCTCCAATTGCTCCTGTAAACACAATTTCCTAAATTTTCTTCGCATCATTTTATCTAGATCTTAGTACCTGCTGCTTATCATAACTTTGAAGATGACTAATTTGGATGTAGTAAATTCAAAAGACACTTATGACTACTCTGTACTTACTCTCTGTGTTCCACTGTACTTTCTGTGTACTCCTATAATAACTTGTCCCCAGCATTTTGGTCTTCTCCTTCACATGAGATTCTGTGCTCTTTGAGGGCAATGATTATTTTTCATACATCCTTGTATCTCCCAGGAAATAACACAGAACTTGTAGATGGTAGACACTGAATACAAATTTGACAATTCTGGTATATACTAAGAATATATACTCCCAGATTAAAAGAAAATGGTTACAATAAAACCCTACTAGTAGGTAACATTCATGAGCATAAGTGTCAGGCACCATTGTTTCCATATATTTACCAACTGATTCAGGCACAGCAGTCTTAGAAACATGTTGTATTCTTTACTGTTTCACTCCTAAGAAAACAGATGCACAGAGAGGGGCCACGTACTTCTCCCAACATCACACAGTGATTTAAATATTAGAGCCAGGATTTGAACTGGGTAACTGCTTCTAGACCCAGTGCTCAGTGCCACTGCACTATATTTCATCCCTGCTTTGTAGGGGGTACATAGTATAGGACAGTAACTGCAAAATGGCTATGAAAGAATGCTTAAAACCATGTAAAAAGAATCCTCCATGTAGACAAATATATGCAATAATAACAGTAATTACCTATGTAGTGGAATAGGTTTTCTCTGTTTTCCCATCTTTGTGTAGTAGTGTTTATCTTACTAGTATTGTTCTTTTAACAGTAAAAATATTTTAAAGGCAGCAACACAGGGAAAATATTTACAAACCCAATATTTATAGCACAATCTTAGCGAAATGGATTCATCCTACAAATATCAGATGAAATTACATTCTTTAAAAGTGTTTAGTTTTTTTTCCAGAAGTCGGAATTAAGTGATGCAGGTATATATTCTGGGATCAAAGTGTATGCACTGGTGACAAAAGGAGACAGTATCTTAAAGCTCCAACTTAAAGATTATAAAATACCCAGCCATTCTTACCAAATGATACTCCATGGTCTCTCAATTGTTGGTCATGTTTCTTAGATAAATTGTAGATACTTGTTGCATAGATTTTCAAAGCTTTTGCATAGTCTTCAATATTGAAAGGAATGATTTTAGAGTCTGCAAGCTCATAAACCAGTGCTCCTCGTAACTGAGCCACAGAAAGCTGTTTTTTAAATGTGGGATCATAAAACTTCTCTACTAATTCAAACGTCTCATAAATCGTATGGTATACTGGGTAGCTGCTGTATTTATCTGTTTTCTGGGGGAGAAAAAAAGGCAGGTATTAAATACAAACATTAAATATTCAAATTATAGGATTCATGTAACCATAAAAATGATTGCAGAAGAAAATACAACCATATGGCACCCTGAGTTTTATCACAATGAAGCAGAAAAAAGTTAAAATCTAACTATAACACTATCACCATATATTCACTAGTTTAAAATTTTACTGGTGTTTTGTAATTCACGTAATCTTCACTCAAAATACTTCCTGAAAGTTGTCTTTATTGTATTTCTGATAACAAATTAAGGAGTACATACTCAAACTGCGTTATTAGCACAGTTTAAAATTATTTATCAATTGATTGGAAATGAAAGGTTCTGGGCGGCTAAGAACCATATAGTTGAGGAATTTGATATTTAAGCACCTTGTCTGCCCTTCCAAAGTGTATAACCAAATGGCATTTACCCTTTATTACATAATTAATGGGCTACCATGATAAATTACTACATAGTGGTATTTTATGTAAATACTTTTTGACTTCTTAGGGCTGCCTTTCCTAAGTTTAGTTTTTATTTATCTGCTACTTTGGTTAATATTTTTATTGCTTTTAGTATCACTAAAAGGAATCCATGTGTTAGTCTCTAATACTCTGCTTTTAATCCACAATGTCCTAGAAATTAGATGGCTTTGTTCAGATTGATGACAGAATATAAAAGTGAATAGGCCTTGAAAGAGTTTAATGAGTATTAGTATACAGATTTATACATTTATTTTGGGTTATTTTAGAGCTGTTTTTGCTTCCATCTCTGTTCTCAGTCACATTCTGGATAGTCAGATTTACAAGAGGTATGTATTCTAGACAAGCAAGATGTTGGTGTACTGTGATTATGATCTGAAAATTATTAAAATCTGACAAATCTGAATTTACTGATGTAATCTTCAGTTTGGTTTATCACATAATTTATAACATAAGCAGACATGGTATATGTTGGCATATCCTAGGACTTGTATATTATCAATGTGTTTGAGTAACAATGGTGTACACTAGTCAGTGCAGAACTGAAACGAGAATCAACTAAAAATCGGGAGGAACTTATTTTATACCCTCATCAAGAGCCCTAGCCTCAGATGACAGTCAGGAGTGGGAATGTGAAGAGGGGCTACTGACAATAAAGGCTCTTGTAACCCTGTAACCAACACAGGTTCTTCACCTGCATATTTTCCTCAGGAAAAGATGAGAAGAATGAGGCTTTCCAACAAAGCCTGTGCCAAAAACGGATATCAACTACTTGGTTCTGATAACCAGCAAAGTACCTGGCATTACTCTGATAACTACCACTTCACTGAATAATCCTGCAGGGAAAATTGACAGAATAACCCAAATTAATTCTGAGTCCATCTATAAAGGGACAGGGAAGTCAGCCTTTGCCCCTGGGATTCTTCCTGGGCTGCGTGACCTAGTGCCCTGGTGCCAAAACCTAAACTGTTTAAAATTCCTAACAAAAAGTTGGATAAAGTGCTGTGTATCCAAAATAATAAAATGGCTTACCCTATTCTTAGTGTAACGGGCTCTGCCTGAAGCAATTCCAAGTCTCTGAAAATAAGCTTCAAAATCACTTCCAGATCCCAGTTTGTTGATTCTAGATGTAGAATATAAATATATATACACACAGGGAGAAATAAATACATAAACTAAAACAATTATGAAATAAATGGGACAGTGAATCCAAGCAAGGAATTGCATAGCATATTTACCAGAATTAGGAGAAGGTACACCATTACACAATATTTTACTATCATGTGATAAAAATATATTCTGCATTGACTGACTACAGCCAGAGTTGAACAGTACCAACAAAGACAGCAGCGTAGTGACTACAGTCTGGTTTTTTGTTGTTTTTTTTTTAAGGATTTTATTTATTTATTTGACAGAGTGAGAGCACAAGCAGGGGGAGCGGCAGGCAGAGGGAGAAGCAGACTCCCACTGAGCAGGGAGCCCGAGACTATAGTCTCTCTAACATTTTCAGCATTTTATGGTATTTATTTAGAGGGGAAAATAAGATTTGGTTACTCTCAGAGAACTATAATCTAGTAAGAAAACTGCCATGAGGGACGCCTGGGTGGCTCAGGTCATGATCCAGGGTCCTGGGATCGAGCCCTGCATCGGGCTCCTTGCTCAGCAGGGAGTTTGCTTCTCCCTCTGCCTCTCCTACTTGTGTTTTTTGTTTTTTTCTCTCTCTCTCTGTCAAATAAAATCTTTTAAAAAAAACTGCCATGATAAAGTATATTTAAAATAAAAATTAAGAACAAATAAAAATATTTAAGATCATTAAGAATCTCAATGTGCCTTATTTAGAAATTTAATCAAAATACATTTCTTTGCATATAGTAAAGAAAACCACTACATACATATTTATATATACATATATAATAACAAAAATTCTTAATAAAATGGTGAGTAAAGCAGAATATGCATTAGGAACATAACTATATACTTCCAAACTATTATGTGTTGAGATTTAGACCTCGGCTTTTTTTTTTAAGATTTTATTTATCCCAGGACCCTGAGGTCATGACTTGAGCCAAAGGTGGACGCTTAACCAATAGGGCCACCCAGGCACTCCTGACCTTGGATGTTTTTAAAACCTTTTTTTCTACTCCAGTAATTTTTTTTTAATAAGCATGTGAAACTATACTGGAAATGCAAACTTCCACAAGACTTATTAGGAATACGGAATGAAGCTATACACTCTTACTAGTTTTTAGAAATAGTATTGCAGGAGAAACAAAAAATTCAAGGAAGCTGCTGTTGTAACTTATTTGGAGTTACATGATTTATTAATCTATCTAACACATATTTGAAATTTAATGCAAGAATGCAAAACAATACCTGATAATGTGGCAAAATAATTTTGACTAAAAGTCTGCAAAACTAGAATCTATTATAGATTGAATGATGGCTATTCTGTCCAATTAGCAAATCAAACGCTACAGAGGGATTCTCTGGGATTATCTTTCCTCTACTCAAATTGTTGACACATCTAAGAATTGCATGTCTGGGGAAACAAGGAGCAAAGGGGAATTCATAATTTATAATTATAATTTATCCTAGTAATTTACCTAGGAAAATTTATATTTTCAGATGAAGGGTCCTTTTCCAACCAGCTTTCATAAAGAGATTTACTCTCAAAACCATCATCTGGGCTGGAGATCTGGAATGAAAAAATCAAATATTGTGAATTAGAGGCAGAATCAACTAAAATCTGACCATATGTTATCAACTTCTTACTATATGGATATATGTTATGTTCTTTATAGAAAAACAAAAGCAATTGGCAAGAAAAAAATCCAACCAAATTCTTGTTCATTTTTGTTGTCTGCCTAATGGTAATTTTGCCAGAGACCTGGGATAAAATTTCCTGCTTCTTTTGGTAAGCTTTTTACTAGAGTTCCAGATTTTTAAAAAATGTCATCACTTTGATTTTTGGGAGCTTAGATCTCTTTTAGTGGCAAGTTACTGGGGTAAACTTTAGAAAGATGTACTTTAGTAAATTGCTTTTGTCCAAGAAGACCTATAAAAAAAGGCCTCGGGGCAACAGATATGCCTAAAGAAGCTAAGCCTGAAATTGGCAATGTAAGTCCTGGTTTTGTAGAGCAGGTGGGATAAGGAGGAAATGCCATTTTAGAAAGTCAAATTATATTTAAACAAAGTTGGAATTTGATGGGTTTTAAAAGCTCTGTATAACCTCAGATTTCTCTTGGAAATTCTAAGAGCTTCTGTAATGCATGAACCTTTTTTACTACCCTCATTAAAAGTATGCCCACAAACATAACTTTTCTCTCTCCACTTGAAGAAAAGCAGGGTCACGTGGGAGAAAAATTGCAGACTTCGAGGGCTAAAGTCTATTTTAAAAATCCATATTATCACACATACCCACCTAAAATTTGGTTATAGCTCTACTTTGTTAAAAAAAAAAGGGGGGGGCATACCCTACTTATGCAGCTCTGAAAGCATTATAATCTTTGGTGTACTGTTTCCCCTCTTGAAGCCCTAGTTTTGTGGAAGTGGGGATAATGGTCCCCATCTTAACATAAATATCAGTTCCTCTGATATTTTCTCTGGCCTTATACAGAGTTGGTTGTTACCTCATCATTGCATATGCAGCCCTGAGCTTAGAAACAGTCCTGGCACTCCACAGTCATCCCTTTGCATGTTGCAGCTGCAGAGATGTTCTGTTCATTTCTAGCCAACTCACCGGGTTCTACTCTACTCTGCTCCTGACAACTTGCAATAGCTAAGAACCTGTTCCAACTCCCACATCCTGCTTAGATTGAATTCCCCCCAAAATCCTTTCATTTCCTGGAATCACCATCTCAGTGTAGTACTAACCAGAATGGTGTCCCTTCAGCCTGGTCTCCCTGGATCATACTTTCTGTCTCTGATATACACACCTTCATAGATGCTGACCCTCCTCCATTATTTCAACACCCTGTCCCATTTCTTTCTTTTATCAGGCAGCTGCCCTTCTCTCTAAGCTCTGCCCTCTACAACTCTTATCCTATTCTCATGTTACCAGCATGGTTTGACTGTGCCAACACACACTAGGGGTTGGTAAAATTGTAATAATCAGCTCACAGGAGAATACAAGTCTTTTTCTACTGGGTTTTGGTATGGCCATAGATAAGCATCTGCCTCTGTACAAAGGGGTATAGACCTAAACATATCCCTGTTGGCCCTAACATTCATACTCTTTTATTTTGAAAGAGCACAAGCATGGGGGGAGGAGCAGAGGGAAAGAGCATCTCAAGCAGGCTCCATGTTGACACGGCTCCATCTCACGACCCTGAGATCATGACCTGAGTCAAAATCAAGAGTCAGACGCTTAACTGACCAAGCCACCCAGGCACCCTGAAAATTCTTCTTATTCTTGAGATCAAAGGCAGGAGCCATCTCTAGGACAGCACAAAGCATAAGTGTATATGCTGAGAAGGACTTTCTCAGGCTTTTAGATAAGATTTTTTTTATAGGACATTCCAATAAAAGGATCAAGAACACAAGCTACCCAATATGTTGAGAGTTGTGATGAGAATAATGAGAGAACTCTCATTTGAGAAAACTAGTTTTTATAGACACTAACAGGAGAAAGGAAAGGGCAATAATAAGGGAAAGTAGGAAACAGTACCTTCAGAAAAGTGACACTACTTCACATTGTAATGTAAAGTGATACATCAAAGAAATATTTCTGTAATTAAATTCTACAATGAACTATTTAAATGAAGTACACAGATGTTAAGTGAATAGATTATATAATTTTTAGAGTACATTAGAGTTCAGAGTACTTTTTTACCAATATTTACAAAATTCCTATATGACAAGAATTATTTTCATTTTGCTGTTAGAGGTGCTACAGCTTATTCTATTCACTACACTAATACAGAGTGATCTTTCTAATGAACAAATATGATAATGTATAACCTTGTTAGATTTTTAATTTCTCTATCGCCAGATTTCTGAATTTGGCTTATTTCTCAGCCCCATTTCTTACCATCTTTCCACCAAAACCTTATGTTCATGTCACACTGAGCCACCTAGAGGTCAGGAAATATTCTCTTTCATATCTCCACATCTGTTTTAGGTACTGTGTTCTATGCTGAGAATGCCTTTTCTCTTACTTTCACATCCTTCCATTTTACAGGCCAAGCACTAATTATTCTATAAACCTCTTCTCATGCTTCCCCAGCTACCCCAGGATTTCAGATTCTCTATTCCGTAATTGTTCTCCATTGTTGGTAGTACCCAATATTCTACTGAAGTATAAATCCTCATTTACAAGAGTGTATCCTCTCTGGATTACTAAGTATTTGGATTCAGTGACCATGTCTTTTTATTGTTGCTGCTGCTAGAATTCACTATGTAGGGTCTGAACCCAAGGCCTTTTCCATTTTCAGCTCAGTGTTCTGTTCTATCAAAATGCCTCTACCACATGAAATTATGTACCTAATACTTGACAACAGTGCACACAATTATTAATAGCTACTATTAGAAGAGACTAGCAATACTATTTTTATAGTTAGGTCATTTAAATACTGTATTAAAGATTTTGTTCTGACTTGGTATATATACAAATCAGCTATATCTCTCACCACTTTAAAAATCAGTACCACTAATTAAGAAAACATGTGTCATTCACTTATCCATTCATCAGAAAACATTAAGACAGATTTATTTACCTCTTTTGTTAGTTTATACACCAATTGGTAAAGAAGAGGTGTACAGTCAACTCTGAGAGTATAATTGCCTGAAAAAAATAGAGTATATTTTAATACTTCCAAATGAAATTCCAATAGAAGTCTAATTCTATTTCTAATTGTAAACAAGGTATAATAGACTTGAAATTGAAGGCATCATTCTCAAGGAATTAGAATGGAGTGGAAATAGTTCCTCAGGAGCAAGAGAGGTTGCAGTGTATAGGAGGGCTTTGGATGCTAAGGCAGCAAGTCCCACAGTAATCCTAGCATCATTCTTAAGGTGCTATCTCTTAGGGGGACTTTGGCAAAGGAAGTGATAAAGCTATACCATCCATTCTTTATTTACTCAATTCAACAGTATCAAGACATAAGACTAGAGCATTTCAGTAACTCGTAAGTATGCTCTAACATTACCTAGACATCATCATACAATGAAAGCTTAGAGACACAAATGTCACATGTTGAGTTCCAAGGGAAGTCTGTGTTTACTTCAAATTGTTCCAATACATACAGGAGGTATTTCTATATAAATATTCTGTAAAATATTCTGAAATATTTTAGCCTAATTTGTTTAATATCTCCACAGGAAGAATATGATTAATATTAATACTAGAGTTTTAAGTAGTAATTCAAGATAGGCAAATAGCAAATATACTAAAATTATGATCAGTAGCTTAATTATGAATCATACACTCATTCATTTGAATCATGATTTTCCCTGTGGTAAAATGGAAAATGAAGGTATCATTGAAGAATTTCATACGAAGAAAATAACCTTAGTTTACAAGTTAGTTACAATTTGCAGACTTAAAAGATGGTACATGGTTTCATAATCTGAAATAAAATATACCTTCTATAGATGAATCTGAGTTGATATAAGCAATGCTTCTCTCCTGGAGTGTTTTTGCATTCTCCTATAGTTGAAGCAAAGTTGTTAATTCACAATATTTATAATTGTGGAAATGTAAAATAAAACTAAGCAAATTAATTTAGTATAAAAGTGGTCTACAGATATCTTTATGAATCAAATACCTATGCCTTTGAACATAATTTCTAAGAAAATGCAGATAACTGGCTGGTTGACATTAATGCAATCAAAATCAGTAGGGAAAATATCACACATAGCTACTGTTTATAGCAATAGCAGGAATTGTCACAGAAAAAGTATTTTCAAAGCGTGGTTCCTTGATTCCTTGCATTAGAATATGAAGGGGTGACGCTCCCAGAATCTGGGCCCCACTGCAGACCTAATGAAAAATAATTTCTGAAAGGCCTGGGAATCTGTATTTTCTACAAGGTATCCCTGGAAGTCCTTACACATACTGAAGTTTGAGAGATATAGTGAGACTGGATACCCAAGTAAAGTATAAGTGAGAAATAGAGAATTTCCATTTATCTATTTTTAAAAGAGGAGATATAAAGAAAAAATAATTTTAAAAGGTAGAAAACTACAGGGAGAGAAGGAAAGACATTAGGACAGTCTCTCTTTTTCCCCCTTCCCCTCACTCTCACTCCTAACACACACACACACACACACACACACACACACACACACACAAGATAAAGTAGAAAATACTATCACATAGATGGGAATATGCTGAGAGAGGCTTTTACTTCCATCTAGTTTGCTACCTTATAAGAACACGCTATAATAGGAGGCAGTCCAAGATAGAAGCATAGAAATACCCTGAACTCAGTTCCCAGACATACCAAATCTATACCTACATACAGAGCAATTCCTCCTGAAGAACTAAGGGCTGATTGAACAGCTTCTACACAACAAAGAATAGAGGGACCACATAAAGGAGAGTAGGAACAGCAGAGACACAGTAACATTGAGAACACCCACCCCCAATGTGGCAACCTATAGTAGGGAGAGATAGAACTGAGGGGCCCATGTGCAGACTTGCCCACCCTGGGGAACAGAAAATCAAAACAAAACACAGATAGTAGTTTAAAGAGAAAATAGACTATTAAAGTGAAGGAAATTCATTTACTAACCTTAGAACGTCTGCCAAATGGGCTTAACTGCTGGAACTCTCTCCAGAGTCAGAGGTACTCAGTCCCCTAACCCAAACCAGCTCCAGCTGTCCCATCAAGGTGACCCAGGCACAAAGCACCCACATCATACCTGGCCTGCTCCCATGCCATCTGCAGCCATCCCACCAAAGCAGCCCCAATGTGGAGCACTCCAAAAACCCGTGGCCTGAGCCTGCTCCTTTCAGCTGTCCCTCCAGGGTGACCATGCAAAGCACTCCAGGAACCCCTGGATTACACTTGCTTCAGCTCCAGCTGACCTGACAAGGGTGTCTCCTGTGCAGAGTGCCCCAGCCAACACCCATCCAGCACCAATCAGGTAGCCAAAGCCACTAAGCACAGTCTACACAGGGGACATTCTTAAGAAAGGCCACTTCTTCAAGACTGGGAGAGGTACCTGTTCCATCTAATTCATAGAAACAAACACAAACTGAGACAAAAATCAGGAGACAGAGGAAGATGTTCCAAACAAAAGAATATGACCTCAGAAAAAGAACTAAAATTCATAAAGATGCTCACCAGACTTGAGAGAAGAGTGGATGAATTCAGTAAGAACTTCAACAAAGAGACAGAAAATATAAAAAGAAACCCACCAAAACTAAAAAGTACAACAACTAAAATGAGAACACTAGAGGGAATCCACATCAGAGTAGAGGAACCAGAAGAACAGATCAGTAAGCTGGAAGACAGGGTATTGAAAAGCAACTAAGTTGAACAGCAAAAGAAATTTTTTAAATGAGGACAAGTTAAGGGACCTCTGCAACAACGTTAAACATAAATTTTGCAATATAGAGTTCCCAGAAGGAGAAACAGAGAGAAGGGAGCAGAAAACTTATTTGAAGAAATAACAGCTGAAAACTTTCCTAATTTGGGTAAGAAAACAGATATCCAGGAACCCCAAAAAAGATGAATCCATGAGATTAGATCTCATGATATGTCAAAAAGCAAATCTCAATAAGTTTAAGACTTAAATCATATTAAGCATCTTTTCTTTCTTTTTTCTTTACATTTTTTTAAATTTTATTATGTTAATCACCATACATTACATCATTAGTTTTTGATGTAGTGTTCCATGATTGTTTGCGTCTAACATCCAGTGCTCCATTCAGTACCTGCCTTCTTTAATACCCACCAACAGGCTAACCCATCCTCCCAACCCCCTCCCCTCTAAAACCCTCAGTTTGTTTTTCAGAGTCCATAGTCTCTCATGGTTTGTCTCCACCTCCGACTGCCCCCCTACACTTTACCAATCCTATATTTTTTATTAACATATAATATATTATTTGTTCCAGAGGTACAGGTCTGTGATTCAACAGTCTTATACAATTCACAGTGCTCACCATAGCACATACCCTCCCCAATCACCAGCCACCCCATCCCTCCCACGCCCCACCACTCCAGAAACCCTCAGTTTGTTTCCTGAGATTAAGAATTCCTCATATCAGTGAGATCATATGATACTTGTCTTTCTATGACTTATTGCTTGACAAGATTTCATTCCTTTTGATGGCTGCATAATTGTATATATATATACCACACCTTCTTTATGCATTCATCTGTCGATGGACATCTTGGCTCTTTCCATAGTTTGGCTATGGACATTTGGCTGTGGACATTGCTGCTATAAACATCGGGATGAACGAACCCCTTCAGATAACTACACTTGTATCTTTGGGGTAAATACCCAGTAGTGCAATTGCTGGGTCGTATGGTAGCTGTATTTTCAATTTTTGAGGAACCTCCATACTGTTTTCCAGAGTGGCTGCACCAGCTTGCATTCCCACCAACAATGTAGGAGGGTTCCTTTTTCTCTGCATCCCCGCCAATGTCTGTCATTTCCTGACTTGTTCATTTTAGCCATTCTGACTGGTGTGAGGTGGTATCTCATTGAGGTTTTGATTTGGATTTCCCTGATGCCAAGCAATCTTCAGCTGGATGTCTTCTTTGGAAAAATGTCTGTTCATGTCTTCTGCCCATTTCTTGATTGGATTATTTGTTCTTTGGGTGTGGAGTTTGATAAGGTCTTTATAGATTTTGGATACTAGCCCTTTATCTGATATATCATTTGCAAATATCTTCTCCCATTCTGTCGCTTGTCTTTTGGTTTTGTTGACTGTTTCTTTTGCTGTGCAAAAGCTTTTTATCTTGATGAAATCCCAATAGTTCATTTTTGCCCTTGCTTTCCTTGCCTTTAGCGATGTTTCTAGGAAGAAGCTGCTGCGGCTGAGGTCGAAGAGGTTGCTGCCTGTGTTCTCCTTTAGGATTTTGATGGACCCCTGTCTCACACTGAGGTCTTTCACCATTTTGAGTCTATTTTTGTGTGTGGTGTAAGGAAATGGTCCAGTTTCATTCTTCTGCATGTGGCTGTCCAATTTTCCCAACACTATTTGTTGAAGAGACTGTCTTTTTTCCATTGGACATTCTTTCCTGCTTTGTCAAAGATTAGTTGACCATGGAGTTGAGGGTCCATTTCTGGGCTCTCTATTCTGTTCCATTGATTTATGTGTCTGTTTTTGTGCCAGTACCATACTGTCTTGATGATGACAGCTTTGTAATAGAGCTGAAAGTCCAGAATAGTGATGCCGCCAGCTTTGCTATTCTTTTTCAACATTCCTCTGGTTCCGTACAAATTTTAGGATTATTTGTTCCATTTCTTTGAAAAAAGTGTATGGTATTTTGATACGGATTGCATTAAATGTGTAGATTGCTCTAGGTAGCATTGACATTTTCAGAATTTTTGTTCTTCCAATCTATAAGCATGGAACATTTTTCCATTTCTTTGTGTCTTCCTCAGTTTCTTTAATGAGTACTTTATAGTTTTTTGAGTACAGATTCTTTGCCTCTGATTAGATTTATTCCTAGGTATCTTATGGTTTTGGGTGCATTTGTAAATGGGATAGACTCCCTAATTTCTCTTTTCTGTCTTGTTGTTGGTGCATAGGAATGTCACTGATTTCTGTGCATTGATTTTATATCCTGCCACTTTACTGAATTCCTGTATGAGTTCTAGCAGTTTTGGGGTGGAGTCTTTTGGGTTTTCCACATACAGTATCATATCATCTGCAAAGAGTGAGAGTTTGACTTCTTTGCTGATCTGGATGCCTTTTATTTCTTTTTGTTGTCTGATTGCTGTGGCTAGGACTTCTAATACTATGTTGAATACCAGTGGTGATAGTGGACATCCCTGCGGCGTTCATGACCTTAGGGTGAAAGCTCTCAGTTTTTCCCCACTGAGAATGATATTCGCTGTGGGTTTTTCATAGATGGCTTTTATGATATTGAAGTATGTACCCTCTATGCCTATACTCTGAAGAGTTTTCATCAAGAAAGGATGCTGTACTTTGTCAAATGCTTTTTCTGCATCAATTGAGAGGATCATATGGTTCTTGTTCTTTTTTTTAGTAATGTATTGTATCACATTGATTGATTTGCAGATGTTGAACCAACCCCGCAGCCCAGGGATAAATCCCACTTGGTTGTGGTGAATAATCCTTTTAATTAATATACTGTTGGATCCTACTGCTAGTATTTTAGTGAGAATTTTTGCATCCATGTTCAAGGATATTGGTCTGTAATTCTCCTTTTTGATGGGTTCTTTGTCTGGTTTTGGGATCAAGGTAATTATAGCAGAGAACTTCACTAATTTGGGGAAGGAAACAAGCATCAAAATCCAGGAGGCACAGAGAATCCCCCTCAAAATCAATAAAAATAGGTCAACACCCTGACATCTAATAGTAGAACTTACAAGTCTCAGAGACAAAGAGAAACACTTGAAAGCAGCTCGATCAAGAGATCTACAACCTACAATGGTAGAAATATTAGATTGGCAACAGACCTATCCACAGAGACCTGGCAGGCCAGAAAGGACTGGCATGAT